CCGCCGTCCTCGGAGGAGCTGCAGCCGCGACCAGGCTGCTAGGGTGGGGGGGCTTGCATCTCCCCCAAGTCGCCTTTGACACAGGGACACCCGCGCTCTCTGGCATTGCGAGTCAGACTTGGACCGTGACATTTCCACGGTGTCTGTGACCCGCGGGGAAGTGAAAACCCACAGCTTGGGGTTGCCAGCCCGCCCTGGGAGACCACATACACAGCGTTTGCTTCCCCAAGGCCTCATCAGTGCTCGGCATGCACATCTCCCTACTAAATAAAGGGTGCTAGCCTTCGCTAAGACACCCTCACCTTTTCTGCAAGCACCTGCCAGATCCGTGTCCTGGACCAAGACAGGCACACGGGGTGGGAGCCATCCTGCCATGGCGAAGGACAGGCCGCCCACCCAACGTAGCTGCTGGCTTGGCTGGGTGAAGAGCCAGGGAGAACACCAAGAGCTTCCAGTGACTTATGAGTGAGGGTAACACTTCACCGTGAAAACTGAAGAGATCACAACTTCTGGGTTCTGCTCCTTCCCGTCACCCTTGTCACTGCATTTGTAGACAAACCACCCTCAGCCTGATTTTCGAAAACACCACCAACCTGCAACCCCCACTGTGTGAAATGAGGACTGCAAATATTTAGCATCCCTGAAGCTCAGATCATTAATGGCTTTTCTCACTTGTTTACCCAGTGCACAAAGTAGGGATAATAGCTTGCTTTCATCACACAGGGGCGTTATTAATGTGAATTAATAAGAACTTGCAAAGTTCATTTAGATCTTGGGACTAAAAGGCTCATTTCAAGCGGCTGTCACGATGTAAAAACAAACACAATTCACACAAGCAAGAACGTTAAATGCATGCAATCATTCATAATGTGCACTTACATAGCTGCTCTCATCTAAAATTTACTGAGAACTATACAAACAATTAATTTAGCCAAACAACCCCCTATGAGGTGATAAATAATAGTTTTATTTTACTGAGAGAGAAGCACACCATGTGATGAATATCAATTTACCAAAGTCACGTATCTGTTCCTACCTTGATCACTACTGATTTTTAAAATATTTTTACTATTAAGCAATACATTTATAGACACATATCCTGGCTAGCTAGGAAACATGCTAGCTTGCCTTTTTTTTGAAGGAAGGGAGATAGGCAATTAAAATACAAAGGTTTATTTTCCTAGTCGATTAGCTAATAGATTGAAACATCGAGGGTAGGCTAAAAATAGAGTCCATATTAATATGGAACCTCTTTGTGCTCCCTGACAAATAAGAAAGCCTGAGAGAAGTAATTTTTAGCCAGTCATCCTCTATACATCTCTGCAGGGTTGATTCTGTTTTACTGCTTTCTCAAAAGTAACCCTGGCTACCCAGCTTCAAAGTGGCTGAAGTGCTTGGCTATCTCTCCTATATCTGAAGACATGAACATACCTTTAACCATTGTTTTAACATAAGCCTTGAAAGCTTCCTAATTTGTATTTATCCTTGAAACAGCAACTGAAGGACAATCAAAGCAGATGTCTTCCCAGTCCTTATCCCATGTTTAATCCTTACTACTCCCTCCCTGCATAGCACAGGGCTGTCCCTTTTGCCAGCCACACTGATTGTATCAGTGGTCGCCTTGCGATTAACACAGCGATGCAATGAGAATTATTGAAAGGTGGTTAGCACAGCGGCGCAGGCAAGCTGTTCTAAACTTGGTGTAACCTGAAGCAAGCCATGAAGTATCCTCTGGTTCCTTTAGTGACTGAGCTGACCTTTCCTCTTCTTTTCTTCTGGTTTTGTTTGCCATTTGTAATGCTGTTGATCACAATTATTATCTGGCTACAGCTTCTACTTAATGAAGGTAAGTTCTGCCGTTGATCAGATAAAATGCGCCTGCATAAAGGCTTTATCTATTGGTTTCACCTTTAAAGCACTCTGTTAGCTATTTTTAGGCTAACGCCACTTGTCACAGAAGGAAACTGAAGGGTTTTTAGTACTGTTGGTAGCATATGGAAAATCAAAGTCAAATTATTGTGCTTTTCTGTTAAAAATGCTTGTAAGACAACAAGCTGCTGCCAGCTGTTCTTCCTTACCATCTTCCTTTTGCCAAGAGGTAATTTAATTTAAGAAAGGCAAAGAGCATGTAATTTTTGTATATTTCTATTAAAAATCTCCCAGAGAGCAAACCTAACCCTCTAATTTTGTACACTTTCAAACTCCGGTATTGTAGTTCTCTTACATCTTTTTTGAGGGAGTGGTGGAAGGGAGAGGTTACTGAGGAAGCTGTTAAATGATTCTTTTATCAACGCTGAAGCTGATAGAAAATTTTTTAAGGCAGTAGGACATGCATTTTCATTTATTTGTGTATTTTTCATCTCTAATCCACCAGTGACTCTTATTTCTAACATGTCAGTAACGTGAAGCTTTGGCTTAGGCTAATAATAGGCTTGTTGATGTACTCATGAGGATAAAGCCTTGCTAGTTTGCTCTAATCCTGGAGCATAAGCGATCCCAGCTGAAGAATCAATAGTAAATTCAAAAGCACTGATTCTGTCTTTGCAGAACAGCTGTAGGAAGGAATAGAAGAACTAAATTTGACTTAACAGGGTTTTACTTCTATTCGGTGTCCTCCATTCTTACTTAATAATGTGGCATCCAGTCCTGTAATAGATCCCCTAAGAGCAGTGGCAGTGAGACAGCTCCTTTGGCCCCACACACAGCAGTGAGCAGAAGGTACTCGCCACACTAAAGGCTTGTGCCCCTCTCCTTTTTTTTGTCCTAGATGCATGAACACACTGCATTTTTTACTTTCAGCTCCCATTCTGCAAGCTTAGCACACAGTTGATAATGTATCTTCCCTTCACATAATTAAGCACACTCTTGTGGGTAACCAAGCATGGTAATTAAAAAGTACAGTTTGTAAGAGGTTGTGGCAGCAGCACAAGCCTCCCTGAGCACCATAGGCATGGCTTATTGCTGATGTCTGAAGAGCAGAATCAAATCTCCATTTTGCATAGGTAAAGGGTATCTGTGCCACACACTTACACTTAGGTTGAGTATCAGCTTTTTGCCTGGACAGAGTAACTCTGGAATCCCTCGATGCCTTGAATGAGGTTTTTGGGTCATGCACACTGCATTTACCTTCACAGTTTCTGGCCCTGTAGCATCATTGGCACCAGGCCTGCAAGGATTTCTACAGATGCTCTAAATTCCATTTTGCTCAGTAAGACTAGACACATTACTACATTTTTACACACTAGTACATTTACAGAATTAGAAGATGAGTATTTCTCAATTATGCTTAAAAGAAAAAAGTAAAACAATGCTCTTTTTAATAACTTCCCAAATAATTCAGTCATGAATTATTACTCTGTGCTAACTTACAGCAGGCACAAATACAAGTAGTCTGTGTTTCAGCTCCTCCTTTAATATAGTTGCTGATTAAGAGCTAATTGGTTAAAATCAAACACTTGTACAGGTCTCATATTGCCTATGTGGGTTTAGAAATCCTTTATTTCAGATGAAAAAGATTCAGAAGAACCTTGCCCAGCTTCCAGGTAGAAGGCCTGCAGCTAGGGAAAAAATTCATATACAGGTATTTTACGTATTTTTAAAAAATCTAATTTTAGCACAGATGCCAAGTGTAGAAGAAATAGAGAAAGAATCTTCTGATGAACTTGATTGTGACTCTAACTTTGATGATGAACCAACAGAGGAAGAGAGCCAGAGTGATACATCTAGTACAGAAATGCACGAGGAGACACGATGCAATGGATCTGTGGAGACTCTGAGGCCCAGTCCTGCTTATCTGAATTCAGAACCAATAAACCAAAAGCAAAGTCTTCTTGCTGCAATCTTAGATAGCTGCTGGTCTCAGAGCCTGAAGATAAGACCTTCCCTCGCTGAGAAGAGCAATCTCTGTAACATTGTGATGGTGAGTAGTGTAACCTCCTACCTCTTTGCGTATCTACTGCTTTTGTGCTTCAGCTCTGATTTTTTTCACGTCTGCTTGACTTCCTTCTCTCTCGAGTAAGAGAAAGCAGCAAGATTGGTTTCTGCTTGGTTAATCACTAACAGATTTTTTTTGTCTGTCTTCTCTGTTTAGGATTATTACTGTTGTAGCCAAGGTAAAGCTACCACAAAATCATACAGGAAAAATTATCATATATGTGTACTATATAAGTATGTGTATACATACATGTTTAAATATAGGTATATGTATTTTTAAAGTCCTTGAGAACTGAATTTGAAACAATGAAAATTGCTATCTATTCTTCTAAGATAAAAAGTTTAGCTCAACAGTATGTAGAAACTCTCCTGGTATTATGGCCAATATCATGCATTTTTAAAAGTTGCTTCAGATTTCTTATAGTGGAGTATACAACTAAAAATTAGACTTATTTAACTTGCTTGATAAGACTGAAGTCTCTTTGCAAACACAGCAACCCCAATCCTCTTAGGCTTTATACAAATCCCAAAAGATGTATTTGAAGCAGCAGAAGAGCTTACTGTCTTGTGTGACTCCTCTCTCTCTGTACCTTAACTGTATGTCCCTTTACAGAAGGGGCTGAAAAGGGAAAGTTGGTCTATGCCTCCACTGTCACTATTCACAGTCCTGTCTGCTCACTTACATTGCTGGGATTTTTGAACTGCAGCAGCTGAGGTACTCGCTCACATTTCCCTCCACCAGCTTTGCTGGAGCAGTAACCTTTGTTAGGCTAGAATAGCTAAGGACTGGTCTCATCTTAAATTGCTGCAGCTGTTTGAGCACACCCTGAAGCTGAGCTTTAGCATGGAGTCAGTAATATCTCGAGTCAAAGTATTTTTTATGTCATTAACATCACCAAGGCAGTACCAAGTCAGCATAGTAACATTTCCTTTCCAGTTGTTGTTCAAAAGCTGAAGAAACAATGCTAAGAATGAGCTTGGATTTAATGAGTACCCTTGGGTTCTCGTAGGGCTCTTCATATCTACAAGTATTGATGCGAATAGAGCAGTTTGAAGAACTGGGGTTTAAACTTGTCTCTTGTAGGACATAATACATATACTGAAAGGCTTGTTAATTGTGTTGGGTGGATGAGGGAAGGGAATAAGCACTTGTGATCTCAAATAATTTATATCCTACTGAAAATTGAATCTCTTCTGAAAATACCATTGGCATGACAATTCTGTTCCTTCTTTTCTTCACCAGCTGCTGTGCACCATGCTTTTTTCCCTTACCTGGAACATTGCCCGCCAGTTGCTCCAGATCTCTAATGTCCTAAGGATTCAACTGCTGCCATCCTCTCTGATTGTCTGCATGGCTCAGCTCTTTGTTTCGCTGGGTGAAAAAGCTGTGAAAATCCTGGGCTCCCTGAGGCTGGAGAGCAGAGGTCTGTTGGATTCAGTCTTGGGGAGGAAACCGGAACAGAGTGATGAAGCTCAGGGAGCCACCCTAGGGAGGAAATAAAACCGGTACTCCCATGCAGCAATCCTGCTCAGCATCAGTGAGAGCTACTGTAGTGTGGCAGAGGGAAGTTAATTCTCTAAAAAGGAAACCTGCTCAAAGCTGAGTTGACACATGCTTGGGTCACAACAGCTGCTTTCAGCATGAACAGTATTGACCGGTCAGGTATTAAGTGGATGAGAGCAGATGGTCTCTTGTCTAGTGCCTGTGCATGTGCCACAGAGGGATGACCTGCTTTTTTATAAGGACCAAACACTACACAGGCACCAGTGACACTTTCTGTTCACCACTACTAAACTGTGATTTCAAACAAATATGAGGGGAGACCTCATTCATGTTTATAAATATTTAAAGGGTGAGTGTCACGAGGATGGAGCCAGGCTCTTCTCGGTGACAAACAATGATAGGACAAGAGGTAATGGGCACAAGCTGGAACACAGGAGGTTCCACTGAAATTTGAGAAGAAACTTCTTCTCAGTGAGGGTGACAGAGCACTGGACCAGGCTGCCCAGAGAGGTTGTGGAGTCTCCTTCTCTGGAGACATTCAAAACCCGCCTGGACGCCTTCCTGTGCAACCTCATCTAGGTGTTCCTGCTCCGGCAGGGGGATTGGACTAGATGATCTTTTGAGGTCCCTTCCAATCCCTAACGTTCTGTGATTCTGTGATTCTGTGTGAAATAAGATCAAAGCAATAGCTCTCAGTATTGGTTCTTTCTGGAGCTTAAATGCAGTACAGCCAGTGGGGTTAAACCAGTTAGTGGGGCTGGGATGAGCCATAATTTTGTGGCCCAAAGGTTTATCCAGTCACTGGGCTATGAACAGATCAGCTGTTTGCTCCTGGTGTTGATGCATACATTCAACAAACTTTGTTTTTTAAGAAGGAGCTGAATTAGGAAGTTGCATCCCAAAGACTACATTGCTGCTTGTGAAAACGGTTGTCTCTGCTCCCAGTGTGAATAACTGTGTGTCTCTAGAGTCCTGCATGGGCAGCCTGTGAGAGTTATGCTGCCCTGCACTAATAATGGAGCATGCCCTGGTTCTGTTTACTTGTCTTTCCCTTCCCACACCCTGAAGTCCACATGTCCAAATATTTGTCCAGAGATGTATGCTTTTGAATAAAACTTGTTTGTCCACATCTTTATTTTCACAGGGTCCTTATTTAGGAAAAAAAAAATATTTGCTGTTCCTCAGCTGTTTACTGAGGAAATCTCCGTGTCCCCAGAGGGTGACCTGGGGCTCGGGGGCTTCTCCTTTGGGGACGCCCCGTTTCTTCCCGCGGACGCGGCCCGGTGTGGGTGTGTAAGTGGATGCTGAGGGACCGCTCACAGCTGCTGCTGTCAGCAGGGGCGAGCCCGGG